ACCATTACTGAGCATTTTGTTGAAAGGTTCCTTAGAAGAATCCTGATCAAGATAGGAAAATGCAAAACACAATTTCAAATTCACATGGACTATAGACTTTCTAGAGTCATGGAGGGTAGCTGGACCCCTGAAACTATTGCCCTAAGATAATTCTTAAACCTTAAACCAAAAATAGCCCCTGAAGTCATATTAAAACAAAACAATTATTTAGATTAACTAATAAAAAAAGTCTACCTTGAGCATTATGCTCTTTTAAGAAGATCCTATATTTTAGGATCTTTCCCTGGAAAAATGCATCATGCTTGGTAGAAGGTCAGTGAAAAAGAGGAAGGCACTCCGTGAGCTGGAATGACACAGTGGCTGCAACAATGGGCTCAACCTAGCAACAACTGTGAGCATGGCACAGGACCAGGCAGTATTATTTCATTCTCTTACACATAGGATGGCTGTGTCAGAACTGACTCAGCAGCACCTAACAACAACAGGAACTATCTATGTGGGACCATATCGACAACAGCTACTCAAAAGATTAGATAGAATCCTTAGAGGGCAGTGAGTTTATGTAAATGAGAGAGGAACAACTCAGAAGGGAGGGTGAGAATGATGGTACATCAAAGAACATAATTAATGTCAATAGTTAAATTGATGCATGTCTTAATGTGTCTGTTCTCAACAGCAAAATAAAATTTAGGGAGAAAAAGGAAAAAAATTACCAAGCAAATGGAATCCCCCTTCACTTACAATCTATAACTTCCCTTATGCACTATTGTACCAAATGCCAGGAGCAGATTGAAGGATGTTGATATGAAATTCAAGAAAAATAAAAGCCTGTGTTAATAGAGAAATACTGTTGCTTTGGAAAAGATAGTCCTACAATGCTAAAAGTACATATCCGTCACCAGATAGCAGAGCTGTGGTGCTTGCCCTCAAAGGCAGTGAGTGGAGGAAGCCTTGGTAAAGAGACAACACAAAGCTGAGTAACCAGCCTTCCCATCAGTGAGGTTGACAGAGAACTAGAGTGCAAGCACTTTACCTCTCAAAGTCTCTGTTTCCTGAATTTCTCTTGCTACTCTGATGAGACATAGACAGGAGGGGGTGGAATATCTGCAGAGATTATGATGGCTAAGAGTCTGGGCTCTGCATTTAGACAGTCTGAGTTTATGTCCCGGCTCCCCTCCAGTCTGTTGAAACGTATTACTGAGTAGGTTCTATGAACCAGGCACTGCGTGTGGTATAGGGAATCCTGTGTGAAATTCTGCTACATCCAGAGTTACCTTCCAGAGGACTCAGATGGACAGTGAGCTAGGCTGACTTCAGTTTCCTTATCTGGAGAGTAGGAATAATGCCAGCACAGATCTCACAGGGTTATTGTGAAGATGGAGTGAAATAATATTAATATAGGATTGTACCCACCTACACAGAGCAAATGTGTAGCTGTTACCTTTAGGAAAACCCATGAAGGGGAAGAAGCCTCCAGAACCCTCCATTCCCTTTCTGTGCACTTTTGTCTCCTTCCTGATGACTTCCAAAGATTTATCCCCCCTCCACAACATCCCTCCTGTTTTCATTGGTTGTTGTTAGGTGCCATCAAGTCGGTACCGACTCATAGAGACCCTATGCATAACAGAATGAAACACTGCCCAGTCCAGGGCCAACCTCACAATTGTTGCCACGCTTGAGCCCATTGATGCTGCTGCCACTTTGCCAATCCATCTCTCTGGAGATCTTACTCTTTTTCTCTGACCCTCCACCTTACAAAACATGATACTGTTTTCATAAAAGATGCTAAAAATTCTTTTTCACTGAAGGAAAAAAAAAACAAAACTGCTATCTGGGTTTCACACTCAGAGATTCTAATTTAATTATTCTGTGGTGTGGTCTGGGCATCAGGATTCTGTAAAACGTTCCAGGATTTTAAAAGTCTGAAGTGAGAATCACTGGATTAGATAGCATTCTGACCTGCCAAGACTGGGTTCTTCTATGTGTTCCATGCAACATCTTATCCCTCCTATGTGGAACTGCATCACACTGTGCTCTGTTGTCTGTCAGCTGTCTTCCCCGCCTGACTGCTAACTCCCTGACAGCAGACTGGATGCCATTTCATCTATCACTATGTCCCCAAAGCCTTGCACAATACTGGATATTGATCTGACTCAGCCATAAAGAGAAATGAAGTAGTCCTGATACATGCTACATTGTGGATGAACCTTGGACACAGTATGCGGAGTAAAAGAAGTCAGTTACAAACGGCCAAATATTGTATGATCCCACTTATCTGAAGTATCTAGGACAGGCTTATCAGGCAGGGGGTGGGGAGGAGGGAAAATGTTCATTGTTTCAGGGACACTGAGCCTCAGTGAAGGGTGATGGTATCATGTGGGCGCCAGTCAGGGTGTTGGTTGAGCATAATGAACATAATCCACTGAACTATACTCAGATGTGAAGATTGTTTTGCTCCATATATGTTTACAACAATTTAGAAATAAATGAATGTTCAAAAGAAAAGAGTCCTTATGGAGCTTGAATAGAAACAAATCCTAATAAGGATTTCCATATAAATAGTTGATGAGACCGTTTTAGTTCTGTGAACTGAAAACCATTTTCTCCTCTGTTTAAAATTTTAATGGAATTCACTCTTGAGGTATGCCTCAAATTAGCACCTAGCTTTCAACATCATCTGAATCTGTTTCCTATCTATTATTATTTCTTCCTCCTTAGTGTTGTTAAGTGCCATCCAGTCAGTTTCAACTCATGACTTTACAGGCTTTCCAAGTCTATGAATCTTTTTGGAAGTAGAAAGCCTTATGTTTCTCCTTTGGAGAAGCTGATGGGCGCAAACCACCTACCTTGTGGTTCACAGTCCAGCTCTTATCCTACTGAGCCAGTGCGCTCTCCTGTCACTGTATGCACATACTTATATACAAACTTAAAGGAGCTCTGGTAGCGTAGTGGTTACGAATCGGGCTGTGAACCTTAAGGTCAGCGGTTCGAAACTACCAGCTGCTCCACAGGAGAAAGATGAGGCTTTCTACTCCCGTAAGGATTTACACCCTCGGAAACCCTGTACAGGGTCGCTATGGGTCGGAACCGACTCGACGGCACTTAACAACAACAACAATATACAAACTTATATACAAATTATACTTAAATACAAATTACTCTGTAATTTAATTAACTACACTGATTTCCTAAGGAGTTTTGGTATCTGGTATCTGCAAATTGGGCTGTTAACCTTAAGATCAACAGTTCAAAACTGCCAGCTGTTCCACGGGAGAAAGATGAGGCTTTCTGCTCCGGTAAAGATTTACAGCCTTGGAAACCCTGTACAGGGTCGGTCGCTATGAGTCGGAACGAACTCCACGGCACATCACCACCACCACCACACTAATCTTCTAGTTTACTGTACATCAAAATATTTGAGCTGAATTTGCTTAATTGAGGTGCTTTATGAAAATAATCAATGTTCTTTTGTTAGACTGGGGCATGAAATGGTCTGTTTAAAGGGATAAAAAAATTTTTTTTTCTTTTTTTAAGGAATGGGACTGAGTTGATTATAACTTTTTCCCAAGTCTCTTTATTATCCAATGAATAGTGCCATTTATTTATGAGCTCCTACATGCGGTAAATAAGACTCTGATGCTCCCCTATTTCTGAAAGTACAATTTGTCTTCCCTCTACCATAAATATGAGACATTCTACACAAAACCAATGAGCTCAGCTTCACATAACTGACTACCCAAGGCTAAACAACATAGGAAAACTGTCTCTAAACTTTTGATTACAGCTAGAAACCACACCCTTGAATGTTTTTCTTTTGTCAAATGCATTTCTTTAAATCCTCCTTCAAAATGTTTTTTCTGCCTTCAAACCTCACTAATCTCTAGAAAGATTTCATCTGTGTGCCTTTCAAATGGTGTAAACAGCTCCCCCTCTGTCTCTAACTGACTCTGACTGCTGAATTTGCCAGACTTTGGACTCACAGTTTAGGATAGAGTTTGCATGAGAAAGAAAAGTCATTCCTACCTCTACTGCCATGAGTTTATCTTTAAGATTAATTGGGGAGGAGGAAGTCTTAGGCCTACATAGAACATCTCCACTTCCACAAAAGCCTGTTATTTGTTAAAGAGTGAGATTAGATGGTTGGCTTCAGATGGGTGTTTAGATAAGCCAGCCACTTAAGTTACTCTCTATCACAGCACCTTGTTTTGTCTCCCTGATTAGCACTTATTTTCTATCTGCTTCCCTCCCTTTTCAAGGAGCCCTGGTATCCCAGTGGATTAAGAACTGGTCTTCTAGCCTCTAGGTCAACAGTGTGAATCCAGTAGTTGCTCTGCAGGGAAAAGATGAGGCTTTCTGCTCCTATTAAGATTTACAGCCTCAGAAACCTGGTGCAGGGTTACTATTAGTTGGAAATTACTCCATGGCACATCACCACCATCATCACATTGTTTCTGTTTGCTCCTTTCCTGTGTCTCCTCACTGGATTGTAATTCATTATGAAATCCCCAGTTCCAGGAGCACTTGGTGGTGGTGGTGGTAAGTGCCACTGAGTCACTTCTGACTCATAACAACCCTGTATAGGGTTTCCAAGGAACTTTACTGGGTTTGAACCACCAACCTTGTGGTTAGCAGTCCAGTATTTATCCTACAGCACCACACCAGGACTCTTTCCAGGAGCAGTAGAAGATGCTTATTAAGTATTTATTGAATACATTTTCCCAGAAACTTATCTTTTTCATTTTTAATCATAGTACTTTTCTTCTCAAAGGTAGTGGTACCTACAAGTTTAGGTGTAGTCCAGCGATTTATTAAATAAAAGGAATCATACATAGAATATGAAAGTTGAAGAGGTTAAACAATTTGATTAAAATACTGCTCTTGATTCTCCTGCGTTGTATTGAGTAACGCTGAACCCCTCAGTGTTTTGCCTGTTGATTAGACGGCAATTGGGATCTTTCTTTACTTCTTGGCACTGATTAATTATATTATTAATTTTACAGACATGCTGAAAGTCAGCAGAAGCACATGGCCGAGAAAATGCCTGCAAAGTGAAAAGAAGCTATCAACCAGAGGACAAGCTAGAATTTCTTTTGCTTCTGTAGTTGTGAAAATGCTGTTGCTAAAGGTGGCGCAGAACAAACAAAATCAGTGTTAGTCATTGATAATGTCTGAAGCTTACTGTCCAGTGATTGGCCTTTGCTTCTTAATTTATTTTAATTTTTTACTTGTGCCACTAAATACCAGGCATTTTAATAAAAATATTGTTACAAAAATGTACAGTACTTACACCATCACAAATCATGGTTAATCAGAGAGGGTAGTTTTAACTTTATTTTTATTTGTTTAGAGATTTTTCAGTTGGAGCAGTATTTTACCATTGACTACTTTCATTCTCCACTGTAGTTTTAAAGAAGAACTGTAAATGACGGTGCTATACAAGTCAAACAATACATGCCTGCCTCGTAGTGAAGTTGTAGCTCTCCGTAACATGTATATTTTAATCAGTTTTCAACATTTTGTGAATGTTGACTACCTGAAGTTCATTTTTAGATGTGCTATTAACATTCTGTTGGATTCAGAGGGTTCCTTGAAAGTTTTATGTATAAATATGTAAAATAAAAATTAAAAATTTGTTTCATATGATATGTCTTTTTGCTCACTAGCAAGTCTTATGGCCCTACGCTGACTAAATGTCCTCTCTCTTTACTCTTATGCAACGAAATTTCTCATCAGGAAGCTTTTATCAGAGAAAGAACAAAAAGTATACAGAGCACAAACCATACAGCAAAGTAGTAGGCAGATTGTGAGAGAGAGAGAGAGAGAGAGAGAGAGAGAGAGCGTGTGCGCGTGCGAGTGTGCGTGCGCGTGTGAGTGTGTGAGTGTGTGCGTGTGAGTGTGTGAGTGTGTGTGTGTGAGTGTGTGTGTGAGTGTGTGTGTGTGTGTGTGTGTGAGTGTAAGTTATCAATCTGAAAGTTTGGCATTTTACTGTTTAACAATTGGGAGCTCTGGTAGCATGTTGTTAAGTGCCGTCGAGTTGGTTCTGACCCATAGCGACCCTGTACAAAGTTTCTGAGGCTGTAAATCATTATGGGATCAGAAAACCTCATCATTCACCTGCAGAACAGCTGGTAGTTCAAACCGCTGACCTTAAGGTTCGCAGCCCGATTTGTAGCCACTACGCTAGCATAGTGGTTACGAATTAGGCTGCTAATCTTAAAGTCAGCAGTTCAAAACTACTAGTTGTTCCTCAGGAGAAAGATGAGGCTTTCAGCTCCCAGCTCCCATAAAGATTTACAGCCTCAGAAACCCTATGCAAACTCGCTATGAGTTGGAACTGACTCCACGGCACACCACCACCACCATTTAATAGCTGCTGGGTTCTTTTAGAGGTCCCTAGGTGGTGTGGCGCTGTGGGTTAATGCGCCACACTGCAAAGCCGTTTGAACTGCGAGGTTGGCAGTTCAAGCTCACCAGTTGCTCCTTGAACCCTATACAGGGTCGCTATGGGTCAGAACCAACTCGACGGCACTTCACAACAACATATGGTGGTTCAAAGGCACTCTGGTAGCGTAGTGGTTGTGCATTGGGCTGCTAATCTCCTGGTCAGCACTTCTAAACAACCATCAGTTCAGAGGAGAAAGGTGAGGCTTTCTGCTGCTGTAAAGATTTACAGCCTCGGAAACCCTATCCAGGGTCGCTATGGGTCAATACTGGTTCAATGGCACTTAACAACAACAGCAACTGATACAATTGGTTGTTACAACTAGTAAAAGGCATTTGGACCCACCCATTGGTACCTCTTCCTTTTAAGAAAGGCCTGACTCTCTGTATCCATTAGGATTATAGTCATGAAAACCCAATGGAACAGTTCTTCTCTAGAATACATAGAATCACCGTTAGTCAGAATCAACTCTATGGCAGCAGGTGTAAGGTTTTCATTTGGTTGTCTTTTGTCTTGTTAGGGCTTGTTACTACATTAAAACTCCATTTACTGAATTCAACCACATAAACCAAAGATGCTTATGTTTAATTCTTTTTCCAAGGCCAGTTGTTGTCATTTAAAAATTTAACAGCTTCTACCAGCCCTCTGTCCTGGTGTGGCACCGTGGGTTAACGCACTGGGTTGCAAAGTCAGTTTGAACCACAAGGTTGGCAGTTCAAGCTCACCAGTTGCTCCTTAGAAACCGTATACAGGGTCGCTTTGGGTCGGAACCAACTCGTTGGCATTTTAACAACTGCCCGATGAAGAAAAATGTTACGTCTAAAGTAGATTACAGAATGCTCCCCAATAAGTAGTCAGTTTCAGAAAATAGATTTAATTAGCTAAATCCATGCAGGGATTAGAGAACCACAAACTAAAGCAGAATGAGCAATTCAGCATTCCAGAACCACCCACACACCGCCTGGTTTCCCTGCACAGTTCACGATGTAATGAGGGGTAGTTTGGAATACTCTCCATTTTCCTTTCTCAAAAAAAAAAAATACCCAGATAAGGAGTCCTGGTGTGGCACTGTAGGATAAGCACTGGACTGCTAACCTCACAATTGAGGATTCAAACCTACCAGGCGATCCTTGGAAACACTATGCAGGGTCACAGTGAGTCAAACTGACTCGAAGGCACATAACACCACCAAGGAATTGTAAGTGATTAAAAGAGTTGTCAGTTTTCATCGATCGCCTCCTATTTAGCAAAGTAGGTAATCATAAGTGATTTTGATTTTGAAAAGAATACAGCAGCCCATTAATATATTTTGATTTTTGTGAGTCAGTGTTGGCACAGAACAGGTTTCTCACCACTGATGGGTGGAGCCCAAAGTCCCCACTTCCCAAGGAGCTCTGCTAGCATAGTGGTTACGAATTGGGCTGCGAACCGCAAGGTCAGCAGTTCGAAACTACCAGCTGCTCCGCGGGAGAAAGATGAGGCTTTCTGCTCCCATTAAGATTTACAGCCTCGGAAACTCTGTACAGGGTCGCTATGAGTCGGAACCGACTCCATGGCACATAACAACAACTGGGTGGCCAAGCGTCACCAGTGATCTGAGAGATCCCGAGGCCTGAGAATCTAGGTACAGTTGTTGGGCCTTTGCCACTTTAGCAAGAATGTTGGCCCTTAAACCAATGGTTCCTCTCATTTAGTTGTGTATGGCAATCACCCGGGGAGCTTTTAAATAAAACACTAATGTCTAAATCCATCCTCAATCTGGCTTAGCTGGTCGTAGGTGTGGCCTAGACATTGGGGTTTTCTAAGAGCACCCCAGTGATTCCAATATGCAACCAGGGTTGCTCACCACTGCCATAAACTGTTCTTTTTGTCTTTTTTTTTCTAATTAAAAATGTTGTTAAGTGCTGTCGAGTCAGTTCTGACTCATAGCAACCTTTTATAGGATTTACGAGAAGCATCTGGTGAGTTTGAACCACTGACCCTGAGGTTCAAACCAACCTTTAGGTCTATCCAGTGCTTTATCCCACAGTGCTTTTTGGGGAAAGAGTGCTATGAAAGATGCTTGTGTCCCAAAACCTCCTATGGTGACACCTTCCACCTAGAGTCTTGAAATGAAAACTCAGCCCGCCAAAAACAGACTCTAAATTTTCAAAATCCTTGCCAGAACTGCCAAATCCAGTAAAAATTTGAAAATGAAATTTCTGTCTTGAACACAAGGTTTTCAATAGCTAAATCTTCCTCTCTAACTAGAAATCCATGCTAAAGAATTCCATGACTCCTAACTCCTTCAATTGTTTTGACACCTATAATCATAACTACAGAACCCCTATCTCAATAAGAAAAGGAAAAGAGTAAGAGATTCCACCCAAAAAGGGTCCCTCAAAATACCTCTCAAAGCGAAGTCAAGCTAGTTTAGTTCTTGTTAGACGCGTTAAGGGAAAATCACATTCCGTTTATGGGTGGCCCTTTCACACTTCTTTTCTCCCCAGGTGGAGATGTCACCAGAGTGACTCATTTCAAGATGATTCTTTGGAGAGTAGATCTTTCTGATCTGTTTGCTTGGCTTTTTCAGCAAGGACTAGGATCATTCCCAAAAGGATGTTTATTGTACTAGATCTCATCCTTCCATACAAAAACTAAGACTCTTAGTAGCTAACCAAGCATAATTACAATGCTAGACTAGTTGACCTCAAAAATAGAGCACATGCTCTCACCTATTTTAAGAATGGTGTAGGTGAGCGAAGAATGCCTGGTGATGCAACAGTTAAGCACTCAGCTGCTAACCAAAAGTTTGGTGGTTTGAAACCACGAGCACCTTCACAGGAGAAAAGACCTGGTGATCTGCTTCCGTAAAGTTTTACAGCCTACTCTAGCCTATGTTGTTGGTGTTGTTAAGTACTGTCGAGTCGGTTCTGACCCATAGCGACCTTGAATAGGGTTTCCGAGGAGCATCTGGTGAGCTTGAACTGCCAACCTTGCAGTTCAAATGGCATTGCAATCTGGAGCATTAACCCACAGCGCCACACCTGGACTCTCCTCTGTCCTATGTTGTTGTTGTTAAGTGCCATCGAGTCAGTTCCGACCCATAGTGATCCTGAACAGGGTTTCCGAGGCTGTAAATCTTTAAGGAAACAGAAAGCCTCACCTTTCTCCCGCGGAGAAGCTGGTAGTTTCAACTGATGACCTTGTGGTTCACAGCCCGATTCGTAATCACTACACTACCAGAGGGTCACTAAATCGTACCCAACTCAGTGACAATGGGCTTGGTTTACGGGCTGGGTAAGGAGTCTTGGTGTGGCGTTGTAGGATAGGCACTGGTTCAAACTGCAAGATTGGTGGTTCAAAGCCACCAGATGCTGCTCGGAAACCCTATACAGGGTCACTATGAGTCGGAACCAACTCAATGGCACTTAACAGGGAGTGTCCACAGGTTCTGGGACCCAAAGGAACTGGCACACATGCCAGCTCCACAACCTTCCTAGTGATGCATGACCTTGAACAAGTTAGTAAAGTGCAGGATAATGCACAGGACCACAAGGTCAGTTTGAACCACAAGGTCGGCAGTTCAAACCCTCTAGCCATAATCCTCAGCTGTGAGTCAGAACCAACTCGACAGGACTCAACAACTATTAATCATTTGTAAATAATAACACCTGGGATTAGTTAAGCTTGATAAAATAGGGCCTGTGCAGAGTCTCTGCGCTTCCTACCCGAGGCCGCTACCTCCGCTCCGCAGTCGAACCATGCGTGAGATAGTGCACATCCAGGCTGGCCAGTGCGACAACCAGATCCACTCCAAGTTTTAGGAGGTCTTCAGTGACGAGCATGGTATATCGACCCAGCTGGCAGTTACCATGGCTACAGTGAATTGCAGCTGGAGAGAATCAACGTCTACTACAACAAGGCTGCGGGTAACAAATATGTTCCATGTTCCATGGGCCATCCCGGTGGACCTCGAGCCGAGCACCATGGATTCAGTCCGGTCTGGACCATTTGGCTAAATCTTCAGGCTGGACAACTTTGTCTTTGGCCAGAGCGGTGCCGGCAATAACTGCGCAAAGGGCCAGTACACAGAGGGGGCAGAGCTGGTGGACTCAGTGCTGGACGTGGTGCGGAAGGAGTCTGAGAACTGTGATTGTCTCCTGGACTTCCAGCTGACCCACACCTGGGGGGTAAGGGGGGCGGCACAGGGTCCAGGATGGG